ACCTTATCTGGCTTGGAGAGCTGCCAGGCCGATATCTGCAAACTGTGGCAAGGAGTCACGGAGAGTCACGAACCAATGAAGCGAACTAATTGTCTCCTGCAAACTCCACTCCCCTTTCGCTCCTCTTTTATTTCCTCTGGGAGGGGCCCTTCATTGTCCACCTGTGGCCTTACTCCCAAGTTGACCCTTGTTCTTTAGCTGTTCCCTTCGACTGGCCACTCTGTGGACGCGCACACTGGGAACAGGCTCCAGCTGTTCATCTGTCTCACTGATGTCTGACTCTGAAGGCAGCTGATAACTGTCAGATGGCTCTGGCTCCCTCTCTGCCTCCGACACAGAGCCCTCCTCAGAGCTTTCCCCAGACTCCAGGACTGGCCCATCTTCCTCCCCAACCTCCTCACTGTCCAAATCTGCTCCCAGCTGTGCTGGCTGCTAGTGGGCCACAACAACTACATTATAAAAAGAGCATCGGTGGGAAACAACGAAAGTGCCCCACTACAGATGGTCTTGTGCTTTATTTTAAAAAAAGCAGTGACAGAATCCCAGGTGAACCTTTTGGGAAGAGAAAAGTGGATGTCACATTCGAAGTGGCCTCCAGTTGAGATGATGGAAGCTGGTTGTTTTTTTTGCCTGGGAAGAGGCATCTGTTGGGACTAATATAACACATCCATTCTGGAAAAAAATCAAAGAAATGCCAAAATCTTCCATACCAGCACCACAAATGAAGACTTTGCTACCCAATGTCACCTTGGCTCTTCTACAGGCGTGAATTGCAACTGAAAGGGGCTCAACAAGAGCACCTTCTTCAAAGGTGACATTGTCTGGAAGCCTGCAAGAAGACAAAACAGACCGAAGAACTTCCATTAGTGTGTGTAACCAAAGCAGAAACCAAAGTTCCCCAAATCCTCAAAGCATCAATATTCAAAACCTAAGAACAATGGCTTAACATAAATTAAGCACAAACCCAAGATACTACGGTCACTGGTTACCTAGCTAGTTAATTATCATTTCTTGAAATTATCATTCTAGACCCACCATCAAGTGACCATGGATATTTGGGGAGTAAATATCTCTGGATGCTGCAACCTAGCTGGAAAGAACAGGTAAGGAAAGTTTGATCCCGTCTTTTTAATCATTTATTTCAGGGGTCTCCAAACTTGGCCACTTTAAGACTTGTGGACTTCCATTCCCAGAATTCCCCAGCTGGCTAAGGAATTCTGGGAGCTGAAGTCCTCGGGTCTTAAAGTCGCCAAGTTTGGAGATCTGGATAATCTGATCTGGATAATTCATTAAAACGTTGCGTCATATTGACTCCAAAACGTATCCCTGTTGGATCCACCGTGTTCACGTGGGTGAGAAATACATATTCTGCTTTAGAGGGAAGGGGGGCTCCTGATTTATTTTATTCTTTGTATCTTTTTATTCTAATTTGAATTGTTTTTAGTGCTTTTGAACTGTTTGTTATATTATTTAACTTTTTATTATATCGTAAGCCACACAAAGTCGCT